GGAGTTGGGCGCGTTGCAGTCGTTCCCGGTGCGCTGCCGGAAGTCTGGCAAGCCAGTGCGGTGTCGTCGTCTCCGGTTCCGCTTGCGGCGCGGTTCGGAACAAAAGTTTGAGGTCCCGTTTGAGGTCATGAAGTGCGTGGCATCCGGCTGCGACGGCGCTTTCCGCACGACGTGGCACCGCAGGTTCCTCCTTGGTTTTAGCACGCGGTTTACTACGTCGGCCGAGATCCTCCGACGCACTTGTTTCCAGGCGCCGTCCATTTGCGTCCAACAAGCGATCCTGTGTCTCAAGTCCCGTCAATACGAAGGTGGCATAGCGCTTCAAAAAGCCCGCCGCAGCAATCTCCGAGTCATGCAAAGCATCTTCCGCCGGCAAGGTCGGTTCCAAACTCGTCCATAGCGACTCAAATAATGGCTGTAGACACGGCTCCTGTGTCACAAACAAACGTTGCAAATCACGTACACACACGGCAGGTTCCGTACCACCCAGCGCGGCTCGCGCATTCGCCATTCCGCTACACTGGAAACGGTAAAAGGCCGACGCGATCCGATCCAGAATCCTGGGCCCGCGCACCAACAATGCCAGCCTCTCCGGCGTCAAGTCGAGAATTGAATGAAGAAAACTCCGGTCCACTTGCGACGGCAACCGGCGCAACGAAAAACGCAACACCGGACGCGCCCCCGGTCCCAACTTCTCCGCACATAAACAAGACCACATCTGCTGCAACTCCTCTCGCACTGCACCCCATATCCAAGCGGTTAACTGTGCACGCAAATGTTGCCACTGACATGCCAATGGATGCAATACATCGAAGAACGGAGACAAGTGCGTCAACGTCTGCCATAACGCACAAATCACCGCAGGCCTAGCACTCACCACCACCACCTCATACGGCTCCGGCAACCCTGCCAGGGTGTCCAAACCCTCCTCCAGATTACGCCGCACAGTCGGACCCAACTCGTCCAACACTGCACGAATCGCCGCCTGACCGAAAGGTAACACACAACAATCCTCCACGCCAAACTGGTACGGAATCTCTCGCACCGACGTCGGCAAATTCGTCGACTCAGATGCTAAGTCACTCAACACACCCACCAACGCCTTCGCTTCCTCGATCGACTTGTTCCGGAAATCCGCAGCCAACGACACCGTCCCGTTCCGCGCCTTCAACGCAAAGAACAAATGGCCCAACAAATCACGCGCCTGCGCCTTCCGCTCCTCGAACCAATGCGTGATCCTGCAACGAAACCGGTGTCCCCCCCAATTGTAGTCCCGTGCCCCCAATCGTGGTCCCGTGCCCCCAATCGTGGTCCCGTGCCCCCAATCGTGGTCCCGGTCTTATTTCGGTCCCGATCCCCGGTGGTGGGTCAGATCCGGTTTAATGGGTGAATAATCTAGATTCCGGATTAGTGGTAGATTGGCGTACCTGGTCTGCGCATCTGGGTTAGGTGTGGATGGCGCAACTCCCTGGAACTCGCCGGGCGCGGTCTTACCCTGCCAGGCTGTATGAATCTGGGCAACTGCTTGATGCAGCAATTTGCTGCTAGGCTCGGTACCAGGGAGCGGGATGCTGAGTCCTTCACTCCGAAGTAGTTCCTTAGCACTGGCGGCAGCCTCGGTCTGTGTCCGTTCGAAAAGGGTCATCATCACGTTGAACAATATATCTAGATGAGAAAATTTATTTGGGCCGAATCCAGTAGCTCCAAGCAAAAGCACGTTTTCATACACGCGTTTTCGACACGCTTTCAATGATGGCACATGCACACGACAATAAGTCCTCTCACTCTCAGCCGTCGGAATCGGCAACGCAACCATTGGCTCATTCGAACCAGGCTCTGTCAATAATCCCGCATAGACCAACTTCAAGTGACACTGCACTGCCAACGCACCACCCGCCATCATGCTCTCCAAATAATGCGCATCCGTCCCACCCAATGCTCCAGGCTCATCATAATACAACGCTCGCCGCCCAGTCCCACTACAAACGCATCGAAACAACATCTCAGCCAAGATCCCCAACAGCATTTCCAACTCCTGTTCCGCATGTTCCGCACTCGTCAATGGTTCCACGCGCAACACGTAGTCCAACGGGTCCGGCAGCCGCTCCGTGCTCCGCCTCAGACCCGACCGCGGACCTGACCGCGGCCCCGGTGGCGACCCAGCCGGACCTGACCGCGGCGCTGGTGGTGAGTCACCCTTGCCCGACGAGTCACCCTTGCCCGACGAGTCACCCTTGCCCGACGAGTCACCCTTGCCCGACGAGTCACCCCTTCCTGCATCGCCTTTGACCACTCCCTCCTCGCTCTTGGCCGAGTCGCTTCGGGTCTCTGAGCCGTGTCTTGACGAATTCTCGCCGGGTTCACCCTTAATGGGTTCCTCGACGGCCATTGAGGGTTCAGGTTCAGGTCGCGACTCGGGTTTGGACTCCGGTTCCGATTTGGACTCCGGTCGGGGTTGGGACCTGGGTGTGCTGGCGCCCCAGTAGTAGCGTGATTTGCGGCAGCTGGATTCGTCCACTTCGAGTGGTGCGTCGCGGAACTCAGGGCGCGCGAGTTCAAGAAGGTAGGACGGGTTGAGGTAGGTGAGGGCAGCGTAGACGAGGATAGCGCGGGTCATAAGCAGACAGGCTTCGGCCCCAGGGGCGAAGACGAGCGGCAGCTCGTCCGGGATGGCGGAACCAGTGAGACCTTGTTCGAGTTCGAGAAGGTAGTGATAGTTATAGAAGCAGGTACACGTGGCAAGTGCGTCGAAAGGCCAGAGCACGTCTTTGGCGCGCATTAGTCGCAGCTTCTCCGACGCGTGCAGCCTCGCCACAAACTGGTTCGCAGCCTCCGCACGTTGTAGAAAGTGTGCGATCAAAGACTCTGCCGCACGAGCACTCGCCGCCGGGCGACACGCACTCAACGTCGCTCGTGAACGCAACATCAGAAAAGGCTCCAGGCATCGCACCACACCACACACATCTGCCAACGCAACAGCGTGCTGCGCTTGGTAGGGAACGACTTGAGCAAATAAACGCTCCCACAAACACGTCCGCCGTAAACGCCGACCCAATTCCGCTCGCAAGGCACCCACCGTCCGTGGCCGTCGGTAGTCGAAAGGGTAGCTGAAACTGCCCAGGAACCCAACCAAGGTGCCCGCCTGTGCACGCAGAGGAGGCACTGGTGCCCGTGCTAGACTCGGAACACCCGGCCAACGAATTGTCGGTGCACCGCCATTGCCCCCATTAACCCAGTCCCACAAATCCGCTAACTCCAGAGATCCACGGACCGTCTCCAACAAGGCCGCCTCGAAAACCGCCTCGCCCGGCGCACTCTCCAAGACCTGGGCAACTACCAAATCCGTCAGACTTAGATAATCACCGAAACCATATGGACGCGACCGAACACCCTGCAGACGTCCTCCGACCGCAGACTCACAATCGCCCAAATTCAACCAAGCCGCCAGACAGTGTATTTCCAACGCCGACAAACCCGACCCGTTCAGGATGTACACTGGTACCACCACGTCGCCAGGAGGTGTATGCTCCGCCATCGCCTCAGCCAACGCTGTCCACCGCGTCCACCCACCTACTGACACGAAACTCGGCGTGTCCTCCACCGAGTCACCCGGCAAGCACAGCCAAGCCACCGCACGTGCGGCACTGAACGGGCGAACCTGTGGCGCATAAGACGAAGGAAGGTGCTGCGAACAAATCGACGCAATCAACCCCTCGTCTCTGTAACGCGTCCAGTTCGTCTCCTCAGACTCCCCGGACTCCGCCTTCACCCCTTCCGCGGCCTGAGCTGCATCGAGGTGCTCACTCGCCGACAAGTCGACTTTCTGGAAGTACTCCTGGATCGCACTCGATGGCAACAATGCCTCGCCGCTGCTCGTCAGGAAACGCTTGCGGAAGGCCTCCTTGTAACTGCCGATCAGCGGCCTGTGTCCGTGAGCCAACGACAGGTTCACGTTTGCACTCCGCACGTCCGAGGGCGACAAAAGAATCGACAACGCGCGACCGCCGGAGGCGAGCGCGGGACCGCCAGGGATGGGCGTCGGACCGATGGGGGCGGGACCTGGCTGCACCGGGTTGCAGGCATCGAATATTGCGCGGCCTCGCGCAAAAAAGGTGTCAGGTATGGAGTGCAGCGTGTAGTGGTAACGTTGCGGACCGAGGTTCGGGTCCGGTTTCCAGGCCGCCAAGAGAGGCAGACTGGTAGTCATCTAATATCCGTCAAAGAGGCTCCAGTAACGAGGCTAAAACATTAATTTTAGACCGGGGGGGCTTACAATGTCAGCAGCGGCTGCAATTCGATATCACCTTCCACTGTAAATTCACTGGCTATGAAACTGAATTCCTCCGCCGATAGTCTGTCCCCCACGGTTGTCAAAATTCGGCAGAGCCTTTTCCAAGTCGTCGTCGGACGCTGAATACCCCCCTCCGTAATGCCCAGCGCGTCCACCAGACGCAAAAAAGTGTGCACCGTATCCTCCGGGTGCAGAGCAATGTTCTTATGCCAGTCAACGAAGTTCTCGCGACTCACCACCTCGCCACACACACCACGTAGCGACTGAACGTCGGCTGCCGACGGCGAGCCCCCCAGCGCTGTCGAGATTTTGGCTGCCTGTTCAGGCGAGACTGGAAACTTGTCCAAGTGAGGCTTGGTAACCTTTAGCGGGTCCTCGTCATCCTAAAGACGTCTCAACATCCATCAGCGATCCTCGTGTCCTTACAAATCTGCTATTCATCTGTTTTCTAACCTGGAATATCCATCGCACACGCGTGTGCGCGCTCTCAAAATCAAAGAACGGCGCAGTAAAGAGTGCAACGGCTAAAATCGTCCTCTAGCTTGTCTCGGTCTAGCGTAGATGCGGCAGATCTACAGCACGCACTCGGCCAAGAGCTCGTTGTAGGATTTTGACAGATGCTCGGGAATATTATTGGGAAGGAAGCTGTTGCCATTTGGCGCGCCATTGGGCACATCAATGGACCCGTCCACGGAAATGTCTTTTGCGACTAGTTGGAAGAAGGTGCGATATCCGACAACTCCGTTGGTGATGACAATGAATCTTCTCTTTGCGTTGGTGGCTAGGATTTTGATGGCCGCGAGCTCACTCCAGGTGATGTGGTGCGGGAATATGATGAGAGTGACGGCTCCGTCGGCCGGTTTCTTGTTCGCGGTGTTGTTGGGTGTATTTTGTCGGAGGCTGGATACGCAGAATTGGTCGTGGGCGCCTTTGCTTTTGGAGAGGCTGCTGAGGAAGTTGCGTTTGCCGTCTATGATTGCTTCCAGAATGTCCACGGAGAGCGGGGAGTAGCCGCTGTGAACGTAGGCTGTGCTTTTATCTGGTCGCGCATGTTCCCTTGTGAGTTTCCGGCAGTCTTCGGCGAGGCTGTGGGGGTAAAGCACGCCGCAGGCCTCGATATCCCTCCAGATCTTGGCGACTTCGATGCCGTGCACCGCGACGAGGGCGGAGATAATAGCCCTCACTTTGGAGGCGTCGAGGTCTGAGCGTTTGTTCAGGATAAGGAGGACGGTGAGTCGTAGCACATCGAAGATGGGGACAGAGCGCCAGGCGAGGTTGGCGATGATTTCGGCGATGGCCGAGAAGGAGCTGGACGAGTGCAGGATGTCGTCTTCCACGCGGAGGAGCGTGTAGAACGCGGGATGGCGGTTGACCTCCTGGATGAGTCGGGTGACGAGCATTGTGTGGATCGACAGCCACTTCTCATCCTCCTCTTGCGTCTTGATTTGCGCGATCATCGAGTGTAATTCGTCCACCGATTGCGTCGACAAATTACGTTGCCCCGCCTGCGTCTGGATCCGCACTGCCTCGTTGTGCAGCACCTGCCCCAGTTCCGTGGCCATGAGGCCGCGGATTTTGGCGAAGTGCCGGTCTTCCGGCGAGCCGAGAATCAACGTCTCGTGCGACTTATCCGTCGCCACCCGGCCGGCGGCTGCCTTGGTTTTGTCGGTGCCGGGCTTGATCTCGGAGAGTGGTATCTCGAGGTGTCGCAGGCCTGAAATGCCCCAGTACATGTCGAGCATGGCTTCGTACGTGAACGGCGTAACGAAGGGACTGATCCAGTCGACATCTCGAGACATGATAATTATCGAACGAATCACGGTCGGGATGGCGGAACCGTCGGGTGCGAGGGCTGTCGTGGGCTGCGGGTAGCTCGTGACCTCGGGGAGCCGGATTGTGAAAGAAGACTGCATGACGCGCTTCGCGAGCCCGTCGTCCCGGGTCGGGTGCGAAACGAACTCGCGGTCCTTGGCGACCAGCTCCGACGACTCCGCGATGCAGCGGTTGAGGATTTCATTGGGTAGCAGCTGGTAAGTTTCCGGCACTGCGCCGCCCCCGTTCGCTGCCCCCCCGCTCTCGTCGGCGGCGCCCCCGTTGGCTGCGCTCTCGTTAGGCGCACCCTTTCTGCGGAGGGTGGCGTTGGCGAAGGCGTGTAGCGCGGCGACGGCTGCGGTGGGTGGGTGTTCGTCAGTGTGTGCGACGACCTGAAGTGAGTCTTGCAGGTGATGTTGTATTTGTTGGGCGACGTGTACGGCATCGCGTCCGATACCGATGATGGGGAGAGTGGCAGCGAGTTGGCAGCGGGACATGAGTTGTTGTGTAGCGATCTGGAGGTGTTTGAGGGCGGCGAGGTCTCCGCGTAGTTTGAGGTCTAGGTAGCTGGCGGGGTTGCAAAGCGAGAAGGCGGCACCGCCGTCTGGGGTGGCGTCGAGTGGGTAGAGGAAGACGTCGCAGTCGCAGAGGACGACGCGCAACCTGCCCTCATGGATGGTGAGCGCGTTCTTGTCTGCGGGCACTTCCTGCCAGGTGTCAGCGCAGTTAAGGTTGGCTCGGACTGTAATTAAAATCTGCGAAACCACGCCGCTTCGCCGTCGTGGGAAATTCACTAAGACAACTTTGACCTTGGCGCCGCCCGCCTTGGGCCCGGCCTTGGCGCCGCCAGACTTCGGCCCCGTGGGCGCGCGCTCGCCGGTGCGCTCGGTCACCGCCGCGCTGATCAACTGACTTATTCGCTCCCCAGTCGCCAACGTCGGACCCATGAAAATCACCAACGTCACGTCCGCCAGTGCTTCCTCCTCCGCGCCCGCAGCCGCCGACAATATCGCCGGGTCGAACGTCGACAACCGGTACCAACAGTCAAACTGATGCTCCTTCAAATACCGGCTATCTATGTAGCTACTCAACGGCTTTATTAAACCGTCATCCAGTATCAAATAACGCTTCTCATCGCCGCCCAATATACTCTGCAACCAAAGCTTTGCAAACACGTGTGGGGGCTGCAAATAGGTGTGCGCGACAAACACGCGCGCGCAAACACGCATATGCTGACGCAGAGGGTGACTAATTATTACATTAAATATCCGGTTTAATGACGATAAAGCAGCATTGGTTACGGTGGTTTTCATAATCGGTATATATTGGTCAAGAATAATCCCCGATGCCACCCGACTTGCTCACGTCAATTTCATGCAGACGACAACGAGAAACACGAGAAATGACAGCTAGCGGCAAGGGGCCCCAGGAGGAAGGAGGGGCCGGAGGAAGGAGCTAGAGGCAAAGGGAGGGGGGGCGAGCGAAGGATGCAGTGTAAACGGGGTTAAGGATGTCAGGCAGCAGGGGGGTAGTCCGAGAAAGCGAATCAGTGGGGCGAAAGAGTTGGCGGTGTGAAGAATCGTTCTTCTTCGCTGTGGATGGGGCTGCGACTTGCTGCGCCGTTTTCGGATTGCTCGTCTTCGGCTTCATCCTCCGCGTCGTCCTCTCGCACGAGGCCGATGACGCTGGGGCTGTATTCCCACTCCACTGCTTTGGGTGAGGCGGCTCGAAGATATTGTTTGGTCGCAGGGCGGGACTTCTGGGTGGCGCCAGCTTGCTGGAGCAGGGTAAGTAGTTGGATGATTTCCGAGCTGTTTTTGAGATGGTGTTCGCCGACCTCGTCGGTGAACGGGGTGGGAATGGCAACCGTCAGGGCCTGCGGGACCATGGACCACACAATGTGGATGAGTTGTTCGCCTCCGATACAGAGTACGTCCGTGGCGTCTCCGAATAAGTCCTGGTCGCGGCCACCACGTCGGGTCTCGCGCTCGCGGCTCCCTCCGCGTTCTCGGCTCCCTCCGCGTTCTCGGCTCCCTCCGCGTTCTCGGCTCCCATCTCGCTGCCTGCTGGAGTGTCTTCTGATTACGGGCTTGTCCCGAGCGTTTGAAACGTCCGCTGCGGTAGTCAACTTGGTTAGTTCTCGCCCTCCGCATACATCCTCCCCGGGTGACGGCTTGGTCTCCACAGGAGACGGTTTGGCTTTCGTGGAGTTGTCTGGTTGATTAGTGGCATCGGTAGTGGTAGGGGGAATGAGTAGAATGGTGTTTTGGATCTTGGCTTTCGTGTTGTCGGGAGACCGCTTTCTGGTGACTAGAGCTCTGATGCCATCCTCGATGGCGACGCGCCTTTGCTTGTGGTTGACGATGACCCGCACGCTTCGTTGCGAAGAGTCAACTTTCAGGTTCGGGTCGCGAGAGAGAACACCGGACTGAAGTTGCGCCATGAGCTCCCTTAGTGTTTTTCCGCTCAGGTGTGTATAGTTGTGTACATGGAAAGACGCACTCGTTTCGGACTCTGAGATGAAGCTTCCTGGAGTCCTGTCCCTGTAGTACTGCATCAACTCCAGCACAGGAGTCAGCTTCTGATGCGCGTCCTTTCTACCTATGTCTCCGCAAATCCATGAGAAATTGTATTCATCAAGATCCTTGCGGTAGTGACCATTGTCGCAGTCCACAAGCAAATTCCCTTGACCGATCACGTCTCCCATTGCGCGCACGCCCAACTGCGTCGTCAGATACAAATCGATGTTTGTATTATCCCAATCCAACACTGTCTGAGGAACCAACAGACGGTTCGCTGCCGTCAGCTCAGGGGGACCCAAGATGCCCTGCACCCCGCAAATCACGATTTTACGTTCGTGGGGCAAACGCAAGAATTTTTCAGCTATCGCCTTCGGAGAATCCATTCTACAACTCCCTTCAAACGATTCTGCCCGGCGAATACGAGGCATAACCACCTGCCGGAGGTTATCCAGCCAAAGTTGACTGGGATATTGGCTCATTATATGCTTAACGTAGTTTACCAGCTTAAAGCCACCGTGGACTTCGCCGCCAACGGCGCATTTTTTACCGGGCACACACGTGTGCTCCAACGAGGGAGCGCGTCGTTGCTTGTTTTTGTTTTTGTTGTAAACATGTTCAACCTTTTGACATAGATCCTCTTCGCTGAAGGGATTGAACGTTAAGAAAACACCTCGAAATATTGAGGCGGTGTAGGTAGACTCTCCTAAAAGGATAGATCCAACAAATTCTTTCCCATCATCGCTGTCTGCTGTCCGATCATCGCTGTCTGCTGTCCGATCATTATCTACTATCTTTTGGTCATCTTTTCGTTTTCGATCTATGGTGTTGGCGTCAATGTATCTGGTTACAAGATGAGTGTTCCCATTATTAAAAGGTTCGCCAATGAGGAGCAGATCGAATAGATAGTCTTCAATATCTTCTGTTCTCTCGATGATCCTAACACAGATGCGTTCTGGCCCGAATTTGACGGTTAATCTTGCAATGGACGTTAATGTTTGTTCATTGAGATCTCGTAAATAATAAAGTGGTAAATCAGTACCGAACGTTTGTTGTCTGGGTATGTGCAGATTGTAACTAAACACGACGCCGCTTTCTAGCAGCATACCTATGGCCGTTAATCGTTTCCTTAGTGCTTCAAAACTAACTAAACTATTCTCGATAGATAGAATCCTCAGCCCATCCACATGTTCCTTGGAGGTTGTTACCATGGTTGGGTACGTCATATTTCTGGGAGTATATGTTATGACAATAAGATCAATCCGGCGACCATTTGATTGTGTAGATCTTGGAATGAGGGTGTCTGATGAATGAATTCCGAGGACGTCGGTTATACAGGCCCTGAATTCATTTTTAACTTGGAAATTATTGAACACAAGGACATCTGAGTAAAGAAGTGAATCCAATAATGTCTTTCTAAACGGGATGATACCCATGAGCTCGTACGGTGGAAAAAACAAACCAATATTATACACAACGTTTATATCTCCGCAATAATTCTTCAACATAGCAGGTAAAAGGAAGAAATTCGGATATAATATCAACACCACAACATCACTCCCAATATCCTGACCACTAACCACATCTCCCTGACCACTAACCAAATCTCCTCGTTCATAACCTTGCTTCGCACACTCCTCCATGTGCTTAACTATACAATCATAATACACACGATTCAACTTCTCATACTGCACCAATTGATCATCATCCACAACGTCATCTATACATGACGGCGTATTGTACGAACAAAGAACCAACAAATTACGACTCAACGGATCCATATTATCCACCACATCCCAAGTCCTCACTGGAGAACTAACCTCCAGCACCCACTTATTTGCTGACTCACCACTCCCGACATACGTCTTAGGCAAAGGCTCAGCTACCACTCTCACGTCATGGTCCCGGAAACAATCCACAAACGGACCAATCTCTAAAGGTGCAACCTCCTATACAACCAACCGACCAACCAAAATATTAACGACAAAGATCTACCCAATGTAGAGATCCTCCCTGGTGTAGACCCCCTCCCCTCCCCTCCCTGGCAGTAGCCCATCCTCTTACGGTCCACGTTGGCCAAGTGCCTAGTAACTATTAGAATATGCATATCGACCTGGTCGATGAAAAACAAAGATCAAAAAACAAAACAACAAGACCAAATCCATGTCCCATCATTCCATCAGGTCTTCCCTCACCTCAGCATCCGTAGCCTGCATCCCAGCGTCCACAAGAGCCTTTAATAGAGGAGACCCAAAGGCCACAGACGGTGGCAGGTAACCGTAGGTCTCCGGTAACGTTTCGGGTTTGGAAGCAAGTAAAATTCCAGCACACGCTGAAGCATATCCCGCAAAGACGTAATTCTCTACACCAAGCCATCGCCATTTGAGATGGACGGAACCCACCACCTCTCCGCTCTTGCGTACTTCTTTGAGTGCGCAATGATTCCTAGTATCTTCAGACACAGACGTTTCTCCTTTGGAATCGTCCTCGTCCGCCTCCGCGTCCATCGTAGCCGCGTCAACTGTGGCTTCCGTTGTAGTGCCGGTCGTCTGAGGCACTACGGCCATACCGAGCGCCCCTTCGACCCGCGACTCGTCTTCGACCCGCGCCTCGTCTTCGACCCGCGCCTCTTCGAATTGAGGACTCTTCTCCGGGGAGTCAGTTTCTGAGGAAGTCAGCTGAATAAAATCCGCTTTCAGATGACAGAACATAAAGCTCCGTTCATCCGTTCCAGGCCCGGACCCGACGGTGGGCAGTAACAAGGATCGGATTTGGGGGGGGAGGAGGAAGCCGATCCAAACGGAGAAGAAGCCGAACCACATGAGTGCACCGCAGCACAAAGCCCAGAAGTAGTTTCTGCGGCTTTCACCTCCATAGTATTTGAGCGATCGGCCGTATCTGTATCCCTGGAGTTCATTGGACCAGTGCACATATTTGCACATTAAGTTGGACATGACGTACTTTGCGCAATACTCGTTTCCCCCAACGTGTCGTGGCAGGATCAAGATGCTCTTGTCGGTTGCGCTGCCGTTTGGCAGAGAGTTGCAGATGGCAAAGGGATCCAAGTACCAACGCAGAGTGTTTTTAAAACCCAATGTTCTGATCATCTCCATTGCGGATCTAGCCGTTCCCCCGCTAACCATCGGAGTACTCTGACTGAAGGTATGCGTGACCGTATCAAGCGCGTCAAGCCCTCCCCAGGCCTCCACAATCTTGTTGGACGCACAAACTTCCGACAGTTGCGCCATCATTAAGTCATTGGGCAGAAAATCAAAGCCGCAACATGAGACGAACTTGAGATTCTTCTCCTTTATCTCTGTTCCGTACTTGACTGCGATGCTCTGGACCCAAGTTAATTCCGCAGTGATATCAATGTAGTGGGTGCTTGACGAAATACATGCCTGCACAATCCGTTCACCAAATAAGCTGTAGGGGCCAGAATATGAGACTAGCACACGCGTGTTTGTACATAATTTTTCTAAGCGCATATCATTCTCTTCTAGCGTAGCCGTCACTACATCCGGTCTTGGCGCTGTGGGATATTGCGCGCAGAGGCCTTCGACGATCCTCTGCATCTCCGGCTCATTCCTGCCCGCGAACGCAAACCGGAGAGGCGTCTGGCCTTTTTCGATCCTGAGCGCATTTTGCTTGAAGCAGCACTCGGCCCCGAAGCGGCCAGTGTAGCCAGTAACGCCCCAGATACTGACGTCGTAATTTCTGTGGGACATTTTAACGGGTCTACGGAAATAAAAAGAAAAGATGAAGAAAATCAGCTGCCGCACAACGCGCCGCGCAGCCTGGTGCGACGGTGCAGGTGCGGGCAGGTGCGTTACAGCCTGGCAATGTCGCCTGTCGCCCCAAACTGCGTATTAACGCGTGCGTATTAATGCTCACGAGCGGCGCCCGCAGCGTCCTTGACGGCATCGGCAGTTCGCTCGCGTGTTTGGACTATCTCTTTTTGAACCTCCTTAGCCATTTGGGTGGCTTTCTCCACAGCATCTGCCACTCCCGCGCTGGCTCCGGCAAACATGGCTCCCGCTGCGGCTCCACCCGGTGTGGCTCCTGCTCCCGCTCCTGTTGCGCCCGTGTCCTCTCGGGGTGAGGTCACGTCACCTCGGGGTGTGCCTTGCCCTCGGGGTGTCCCGCGGATGACTTTAACCATGTTTTTAGTGCTAGTTGCGGAGCGGTTGGTGGAGATTTTGCTGCGGTGGCTTTTGGTTGGTGTAAGTATGCCGCCTGACTCGCTAGGCTGGAGATTGTGTAGGGGCAGGCTGGAGAGTTCCGAGGGTCTAGAGATCTGGGAGGGTCTGCCGGAGTTGATGCCTTCGTCTATGCGTTCAGTCCCTTCAATGTTGAAAGTAGGGTTGTAGCGCTTCAGGTACTCTTCCTGTACGTGTTCGAGAGACTTGGCGTCGACCTCACCGGTTTCCTGGTTGATGGGCACGGGTACCTTCTTTTGGTCGAAAGGCGCGTTCAGCTGGCTGATGGGGTCTCCGCATGTCCAGTGCAGCTTGTTGATGTCTTTGACGCCACGTTGCGTGACCACCTGTACGGGCCCACCTATGTTTTTGAACCGGATCCCGCGCAACCCGGGATTGTCGATCTCCACAATCGGTTCCATCGACGTCGCATACGCCGCGTTCGGGTCGTATGCGAAGTCCGCCTCCGGTACTCTCACCGACCGGTCCACTGCACGGTACCTGTCCGAAGGCGAAGGCGCTGCCGGACTAATGGCCGATGGCGAGTTGCTCTGGACATAGAACCCGTCACGGATCAGCATGTCCGGATCGTTCACTGTGTACGTGTTCCCAGATACGCGAGTCACCGCGTCCGACGGGCGCACCGAAGGCGGGTTTGAGACCACCGTGGCAGACCTCGGACTGGCACCTGGTGTTGGTCGCCCACCACCCGGAGTAGTTCCCAACATCACCGGCGGGAAATACGTCATGTCCGCACCCGTCGCCTGCTGACCCACGGGAGATGGACCATCTGCGGCCAAGAGCTGCTTCGCCCTTTGCTGCTGCGCTGCCAACGACATACCAGGACTGGCCGCCCCTGGCCGAACACCTGACCTAGGACTTCCCGCCAACGGAGATTGCCCGAAAGGAGACTGGCCGTAGGGAGACTGTCCGTATGGAGGCTGGCCATACCCGGCTTGACCATAACCGGGCTGCCCATAACCGGGCTGCCCATAACCAGGCTGGCCGAAGGGGGGCATGCCTGGCTGGGCTTGCAGTTGCATAGCCGCCCGGACCTCTGGCGGGATATTCGGCATTTGATGGTAAGGCGCGGGTTGTGGTGGCTGCTCCACCGGCTCCTCGTGCACCACCAAACCAGTGTCCGGATCCACAGCAACCATAGAGACCTGGATCTCCGCTTCATATGGCAGCTCGATTGTCTTCTGGTCCTGCGGAATGATAATCGTGTGTACACCATCAGGACCGATGACGTCCCCGTTCGCGTCCCTCGGGAATTGGCCACCTGCATACTGGCCGCTAATAAACTGTCCTCCGAATTGGCCTCCAGCTCCAAATTGGCCTCCAGCTCCAAATTGGCCTCCAGCTCCGAATTGGCCGGCGGGGAAGCCGGGTTGGGCGGAGGTGCTGATGCCTGCGAACTGGCCGCCGGGTATCTGGCCGGCCGGCGTGCTCTGAGCGAACTGGGGCAATCCAGTGGTGCCTGGGGTCATGCCAGGGGTCATTCCTGGGGTCATGCCAGTGAGCAAACCCAAAGCTGCTTGATTGGCGGGCACATAGACGGGCGTACCGGCGGAGGGGTTGTCGAAGGTGTTGGCGGCATAAAGGTTGTTGTCAGCATCGACGTACCCTTGTCCATTGGCGGAAATTTGGTACGGTCTGTTTTGGAAGTCGAGGAAGGGCGAGCCGTCGGCGAAGAAGAGGGTGGATCCGTCAATGCCGAGTACGAGTGGTCTGCCGTCGGGTGAGGCGAGGTTCGTGCCCACACCGATGGCTTGGTAGCCCGGTGGTGTAGGAGGCAATTCGGAGTGCCGGGTGCCGGTGGCCTTGGGTAGCGCGACCCCCGGTTTGAAAGGCACTTCGATGACTTCCTCCACGTACTTGGGGACGACGAAGGGCAGTTCCTTCGTGACATGTTTGGGGATGGAGCGTTTGACGACCTTGGGCACTTCGATGATTTTATCTTGGACGATATGCTTGGTGCACTCGATATTCCGTTGTACAACAAATGGTTTTACGACAGGCACCAACTTGGGTGGCTTCTTCATAAACACATCCAGCGGCACCTCTACGTACTTGGTGCCCTGCGGTACCTCAATAATGTTGTCGTGGACCACACCCGTGTAAGTGTACTTGGGTATCTCAATCCTGCGGTCGCCACCTGTTGGGATCAACTTGTTCACTACGCCGCCTTTTACCACCTCCACGAAGTGGTGTTGATGCTGCACGTAGTCCACCTCGCAGCGCCGTTCCTCCGTCTTCTGCTTCGCAATAAAGTGCCTCTGTTCCCTCACGATCGGCTCCTGCTCGAACTGCTCTGGCACAGTGTCCATCAACTCCTCCGGCACCGGGACCGCACCGTAGCAAGTCATTGCAACGAAACGGCCGTCATCGCTCCGGTACTTGGCCGCCACCGCCGCGAATTGGTCGTCCGTTAAGAACTGCTCGCCGTGCGCATTCGTCGTCGGAATACGTGCAGCACGCATCGTCTCATTACGGATGTCCACTAACTGATGTCCAGGCTCCATCGTCACGTAACTGTTCGGTTCAAACAACACCGGTCCACGACCACCGCTCGGTACCGGGTCCGTTGGCAACGGGGGGTGGAGAGGAACTACGTCCCGTCCCGGCCTGGGTGAATGACCAGGAGCCGAGCCGGCTCTGACGGAGTGAGCTCCCATAGAACCGCGTCCTGCAGAGCCAAGCCCTTGGATTTCGTCCCGAGGACTCGACCACGCACCGTCAGATTCCAGCTCGTTGATAAGCGGCTTATTTATCCGCGCTCCGCCGTGGAGCACCTCCGCCGCCCCGATTCCTTCAAAGTCCTTACCAGGGCGACCCTTTGGCCCAATCGATACCTGTGCAGGTATCGAATCGTTGAAATGAGTGATGATATGTCGATTATTATCACTCATTCTGCATGCGACCCTGAGAAGGTGCAACCCGCAAGGTGTCACCTATCCTACCTGTTGGCCCACTCGAGCAACCTCCCCTATCCATTCCACGTAACCTCCCCCACTCAAGTGCCCTTCTTTCCTGCAAAGACGCCATTTTTGATGATAAATGTCGAGTTATGTAAGACCCCTACACCCGATGAAAATGAATTGTTGCAGGGTGAGCTGAGAAGCAACAGAGGGTTCATCCGAGATATCATCTTCAAATGCTTCGCTCCAGCTAACCTGTCCTGCTCGAGCACACTATACTTCCCGGGGTACGCCGACCGCGGAAGCTTTTTCGGCACCAGCCGAATCCGGTTCCCCTACAGCGTTAGAAATGTTGGTAAGTGTGTGCACACACGTGTGCGCGCAACATAAACGCGCGTACACGATGGCGTTGACCCCTACACTCGATGAAAATGTCATGCACAATTTTATCTCACGATGCTCCTGCGCATAACCATACATACTGACCATAATGACCATAATGACCATCCCCGACGTGATACGTATTGGCTTCAGCAAAGAACAGGATTCGCAACCAACGTTATAGCCTGATCTCATTTCTACCGTTGACGCTATTCTACCAGTTTAAGTAGGAGGTTCTCACATTTATTCCCCCATTTATTCCCTCATTTGTTCCCCCATTTATTCCCTCATAGTTGTAGTTCCCCCATAGTTGTAGTTCCCCCATTAATTCCCAGCTCTTCATGTTGTCTGTTTGATCAGTTACTTCTTTAATGTGTTTTACTTGGTGGTGGGTCTGTCCCAGTTATTTCCACAGTTTGTTATTGGCCCTTTGTTTACGTATCTGGCGCCGCTTGTATTCGTGGTGACGATGAGTGTGTTGAAGGAAGCGTTGGACGATTACAAGAGGTATTGTCGTGACCGGGAGTTGAATTCCCAGCTCTACGAATTATTAGTATACCCGCAGGATAGACAGGATCGTCGTCGAAGCCAGTTGCGACCAGACGATTTGGAGGAGGAGGTTCCGGAGGTTGCACAGTTCCGGGCAAGCGATATACGAGTAGGAGATGTATTACGGTTGCACACCGGTCAGCGCGTACCAGCGGATTGCATTTTGATAAAGACTTTTAATCCAGAAGGAACATGCTTTATCCGTACCGATCAATTGGATGGTGAGACGGATTGGAAGTTGAAACGAGCCTTGGGTGTGACCCAATCGCGTTCGATTAAAGAGATGGTCAACACGCGAGGCACAATCGATATCGAGGCACCCCGGAAAGACATCTACAACTTCCTGGGCACGTGCAGTATTGTACCGGCAACGGGTGAAGCTCCGACAGATAATATGACGAACAACTTATCGGGCGCCGTGTCGAGTAATGCACTATCTGGTGCGGTGTCTACCGTTCGAGAAGGTGAGCAAATTCGAGAACCTCTGTCAACGGACAACACATTGTGGACAAACGCAATTATGACATCCGGTCCTGTGTTGGCGTTGGTGATTTTCACGGGTGAGAATACGCGTGCGGCAAAACACCGCGGTGTGGCGGAGCCGAAGATTTCCGCTTTCGATTTGGACATTAATCGCATGTCCAAGTTACTGTGCGCTATCCTATGTCTGGCAGCATTTATACTGACGTTAGGCAAGCCTTTGAACCCGCTTAGTCCCGTTTATCTGGTCCGTTTCATCCTCTTACTCTCCTCTATCATTCCCATATCTCTACGTGTAAACTTTGATATCGCTAAGCTGGTGTACAGTTATTTCGTACATAATGATGGCGAGATTCCCGGGACAATTGTGCGTAACTCTACTCTGCCAGAGGAACTGGGCCGCATTGGAATCATTGTCTCTGATAAAACTGGCACACTGACTCAAAACAAAATGTCGCTCCAAAGCATTGTCTGCGCCAACAAAGTCTACAACGTCTGCGCCAACAGCGTCGCCATTGCCGTCAACTACGGCAAAACCCCCTACCGCAACAGGGACCGTAGCGAATACAGCAACGACCGTAGTCTTGAAACTGGAGGTGGTCGAGGTCTCGGCGCCGGTGGTCGAGGTCTCGGCGCCGGTGGTCGAGGTCTCGGCGCCGGTGGTCGAGGTCTCGGCGCCGGTGTGATCCCGATTTCGCAGCTGCCCTACAACGGTCCCGTGCTCAAGTTGAATCCCATGACGGATGCGGACTATTTTATGAACAGCGTGATGGCCATCAGTCTGTGTCATTCGGTGCTGCCTGCGTATGACTACGATACCAAGGCGGTCGTGTACGAGGCCTCTTCACCGGACGAGATGGCGATGGTCCAGTGGTGCGACCGGAACGGGATCAAACTGGCACACCGCGATCTGGCGACCATTACCATCGAACTGCCTCCTCTCGCCCACAGCGGCGGTCTAACTGCTGGGGGTTCCGCTAGTGTACCCCTTGGGGGTCCCGCAACGGGTAGCCAAGGTTATGCTGACAGTTCCCTAGGTCAAGGACGGCAGCTGGAGCGGTTGACTTGCGACATTTTGGAGACATTTGCGTTTAGTTCGAGTCGGAAACGTATGGGTATAATTCTGCGGGATCGGACGACAGGTCAAATTTTATATTTATTAAAAGGCGGTGAAGTAGCATTGTTGAAGTCGTTAGTTCAACGACCGCAGTGGTTGTTGGAAGAGTTGGAGAGTTTAAGCTCTAGCGGATTGCGGACGTTAGTGTATAGTTGGAAAGCATTAAGTGAGGAGGAGTATAGTTTGTTTCGTCGTCATTATGATGAGGCTCGGAATTCGTTGGTGGGACGTAATCAGAAGTGTCATGACGTGATTGACCGGTATTTGGAGTACGAGATGCAATTGGTAGGGTTGACTGGTGTTGAGGACGAGTTGCAGGTAGGTGTTGCTGATACGGTGGAGAGTTTATTACAGGCGGGTATCAAGATTTGGATGTTGACGGGTGACAAAGTGGACACGGCATTGTGTATTGCGACAAGTGCGGGACTACGTGGTCGTATGGATGTGTTTGTTAAAATCACTGGCGAGAACTGTGTATCATCAGCAGATGTCGCGCACCGTCTGCGACGTGTAGATCATGGTCATGAGTCAGAACATGTAGTGGTTTGTATTGATAACTTCGTGGTCAGTTTGTTACTCGACGACCGCGAGTTGGCTGCTCTCTTCATGCTTGTTACGGCGCAGGCGAAATCCGTACTATGCTGCCGCTGCTCGCCTAGTCAGAAGGCACAGGTCGTCGCACTCATCAAGAAGACCAGTCCTGGTCTGCGCATCGCCGCTGTTGGCGATGGTGGTAACGATGTGCCCATGATCCAAGCCGCACATTGCGGAATTGGCATTCTGGGCAAAGAAGGAAGACAAGCCTCTCTCGCTGCGGACTTTAGTATCAACCAGTTCCGCCATCTTAAACGTCTTATTCTTTGGCACGGTCGGCTAGCACAGTTACGCAGCACGAAACTCTCTGCCTTTATCATCCACCGCGGACTCGTTATTGGTGTTATTCAAATTTTCTTCAGCAGCGTCTTCTACTTCACTCCACTCGCCGTCTTCCAGGGATGGCTACAGGTCGGATACTCCACCTACTATACAATGCTCCCCGTGTTCTCTCTCGTTTACGACCAAGACGTACCACCACATGTCTGCTTCCTCTTCCCCGAACTTTACAAAACTGATGAAAACCGAACACTTAACGACCTCACCTTTGCTAAAATACTCTTCATGAGCATCTACCAAGGAGCTGCAATCATGGTCGGCGCACTCCTCCTCTTCGACGAACAACTCATCAACTTCGTTGCCATCGCCTTCACGGCACTCATCCTCCTCGAACTACTCAACGTAGCCACCGAAGTTCTCACCTGGCACCGCGCCATGGTCGTAGCAGAACTCGCCTCCGTTGCCCTCTACCTACTCTCCCTCGTCTGCCTGCCAGAATACTTCGACCTGACATTCGTATTCACCACCACCTTCTGGTACAAGGTCTCCGCTATCACTGTGCTGAGCTGGCTACCCGTACACTGCTACAAAGTAACCATACCCTTACACCCCCCCCACCTGGTGCTCCACCCCCC